CTATCAGATAACATTACTGGGAACAAAATTACGACAAAGAACTTGAAAACTACCTAACTTCACATTCAAATGTATCAATCTTGTACAGGCAGATGGTTGCACCAGAATCTTATGAAGACAACTCCTTATATACTTAAACATAAGATCTACTGCAGCTATTCATTATGGAGCCAAGGGCCATAATTTTTTAGGGCATAACATTATTTAAACAAAACAAAAGCATGAAAAGCATATGCTGTTGAAGGAAAGTGTGGAATTGAGGAAACCGATTCAGTGATCTACTTTAAAGAATTTCATCATTTTGTATAACAAATTCAGCATGCCTTGTGAATTATGATTGCTTTACTTAAACAACTGCACACCACCTTTCCTTAAACTCTTCAAATTTGAATACTCATTCAAGGATATAAGAATAAGACTCTCTACAAATAAAATAAAAGATAAAATGGACAGAGGGAAAAGAAGCAACCAGACCATTTTGTTTAAAATCTACAATTTGAAATTCCATTTCAAGCACCATCAACTGTCCCTGTTGTTAAAAGCACAAGCTTTTTTATTTTGCTAGCATAAATCAGATGGGAAAGAAGTTCTATTCCTATATGTGATAGAATCTGGAAAAATAAAGTTGCGTCTAGACTAATACAAACCTACACATTTGATTGGAGTTAAACCTAGCTGATGTTTGAGAAAAAAAGAAAGAAAATCAACATTTGAATCACAATGTCTTTTGGATAATATTAAGTTGTACTCAACTCTGTAAAATGAAACAACTAACTGGTATGATCAATGAAATTAAGATAAAATGAATTTCAGATGCACAAATTCAGAAATTCAGATGCACAGCCTAAAATAGTGAGATTCAGCTGCTTTGGGAAACATTATATGTAATAACTTTGATATAGCCATGCAATTTTCTTGATAACTAGCATGTATTCACCAGCCAAATTATTTCTGTACTATTATATCTATTCTGGGCCATAAAGTTATTGACGACAAACCTATATAAAGGCTTTGCTTTCCTTTTCACTCTTACAAAAAAAGTTGCTTATATACTTCCAAGAACAATTGGTCTTACGAAAGAGAAGCTATATCATTTATGAAGCATTTTGGTTAGATCACGTACTGTTTCACATATTCCTTTGTCGTTGTTTTGCACTTTCCACAGAAGAAACCATCAACTTCTTCTCGAACCAAACGACGACAGGTTGCAGTCGCACATCCGTTGTAATACCAGTTCTCTTTGATGCTTGAAACAACACAGTCCAATCCCAAAGTTTTCTTTCCAATAGTATCGGGTTTGAGGAGTAAAAATGGGTGAATTAAATGGATAAAAATGGGTCATGTAATTCATGAAGTTCAGTTATGGAATGGTTAATGACCTGTTCTTTCTTTCCGCATCTCAGTGCCAACAGCTCTTCAATGGTAACATTTGGGATGATTGGAGCTTGGTTAGTAGCAATAAACTGTGGTGCATTGTTCCGAGGAATCCTAACAGAATCGGCAAAGCAAACTTACACCTCATTGCAAATATTAAAAATTTGGAATTAACTAATTAAGGAATAATATATGCATTACCGTTCTTGTTCATCAGCAACTTCTGGAATATTCAAATTGGCATACAGCCTTGTGGCGCTTGACGATGATAAATAGAATTGTTCTGCAATGGAAGGGGTTTAGAATAATCCACTGAACAAAAGTATAACATCAGAAGTGAAATGCACAATATGTTGTAAAGAAGCAGAGAGCAGCATGGGTGATGGCAAAGAAAGTAAAACAAAGTACAACCGAATTACTACTTACTATTCCATATTTTGACTAACAAAGACGTAGCTACGACAACAGTGGTTGCATTTCCTGTAGGGTCAACAATACTATCCAGCTGGGTCATTGTTCTTCCCACAAGGAGACCTTAATAATGTGGCCACTGCATTTGACAAAACCAATGTATTTTAGTTTTTTTTGCACAAACAATTGTTCAAGTGAATATTAAGATTATGGATAAAAATTGGAATGAATTCAGTTTGGTATAGATGAGAAACACTACAGTTGTAAGTGACCCATGTGCTTGAGGTAAATGACAGATACTTAAAGTCAAGGTAAGTCAGTAAAACATGAGATAGGAATGGGGTTGAATTCAGCTTGGTAATAGTAACTGGCAATGATTATCATAGAATCTTCTAGCTTGGTATAGAAACTTGTTCGTTACCTATGTAGTAAGCCTTAGGTACCAAGTAAAGACTAATTCGTATTTTCGTGGCTAGGTCAAATAACCAGCAGGTTAAAAAGTTATATGCTAAAGTAATTAGAAAATCATCTCAATTAAGCTCGGTAATAGATACAGTTAGGTCATACTGCTGGAAAAGCAAGGCTTAGTAATAATTGTCATATTGTGTAGACAATAAGTACTAAGTAAAAACTAAATGGTAATGTGTTATCACCAGAAAGTACTTCATATTCAATTGGAAAACATCCATAATTTCATTCCATAACAGAGTCCCTATATAAAAAAGCAATTGGCAACAAAATTGAGCTTTTAAATTGGAATGAATTGAGTATGAAAATTAACATAAGATTATTAAGAAGAATGAAAATCAGCATGTTAGTTATTTCATTCCATCAAATTGGAATGAATATGTGTAGATGCACATATTCTTTCCAAAGTCCAAACATATTTTTTCCCCAAACTTTAGAAAAAGTTTGCCAAATTTCAGAAAAAAAGTTTCCCAAAATTCCAATAAGAACTGCAAAAAACTTTTTCGTACTTAAGAGATCCCAAAAAGCAATATCAAGAAATCTGATATGATTAACGTTGTTACGTGCTATTAATGTAATTAAAAATATTGGCATTCACAAATATGAAAAATTCGGTTGTTTATGTATAGCTTGTCAACTAGATTCTGATATGTACGTTGGAGTTTGAGAAAATACGGATAACTTTGTTGGTTCCTTTTGTCTTAAACCAGACAAAATATGAAAATTGGTACAATTGTATTGATTTTTATGAAGAGTCGACTTTTGATCGAAGTAAAAAATTCGTCACAAGGCATAATATATGTGACCCATATTATTTACATGTTATTTAAAAGCATGGTAGCCTTTGGTTTTGAACATAATTAAGCGGCCGAGATGGAAGTAACATGTTTATCTCATACATCAAATGCATGAGTTATATGTTGCAAATCTAATATTTTTCCATATCAGGTCCTCTCAGTCGAGAGTGCATAGTGATGTATCATATATCAAGTCGTTTGATATTTGGATAAATGGTAAAGGATGTCCACCACACTATTCAAATAAAAAAATCAAGCCATTTGATATAACATCGTGAAGTTCAACAAACTCGATATTACGCATTTGTAATCACGATGTCGGATGTATTTTTGGATTTGCTTCTTCAAATAAGTTCTAAACTTGGAGGGTGCGTATGAAAAGAATTTTTCCGTAGTTAAGGTAGATTATATAACAATTCAGCTTTATTTATGATATCTGTTACAACTTTTTCTAAGTTAGATTAATGGATTCTATTTCTATTTCTATTTTATGCCAAACATAGGCATTGGTTTCTGCAAATTGGAACCAACAATATGATTGTCAGAGCTTGGCCATCGAGGATATTCACAACTTTAACGAACTATGTAAACTATGTAGAATGGGGAGGTGAAGTTTATGTCTCAACAGACATGGCTCTCACATGAATAGATGTCGGTCACACACAAGATATTGTAAACTAATCGATAATTGTTAAGGGACACAAGTTATTATAATAAACTGCATACAATCTCCGCCTCTGTGCGAACTCCTCTAAGCAAATAGAGCAGTCATAGGTCGCTCTGGAACCCTGGTGCTCAGCCAGATAGCTAAAGCTCCTCCCTTCAAACAAAGGTAGCTTCGTACCAACCTCAACGGCGAGCTGGCGACAACAACATCGCTCGTTTGCACATTATTTGTTGTAGTTTTCTGAGCCTTATGGTGGCTGAAGCATAACAGAGTCTTAGAAACCACCGTACTGCATCGACAACGAATACCCCGAAAAAGACGGTGACAAGGATCAACACTCCAGATGGTCCTCGCCCGAAGTTGGTTTGCTGAATCGACGTTACATGATCTTGACAAAGGCATTGATGATATAGCAAAATTAAGGCCGGTTAGTGATATACAAAGGAAATTTTTGTATATATACACTCACAAAACCGAAGAAATCCCAGTAACAAGGCGCGCCGTGCATCCAATATTACACAATGATCCCAAAACTATTCAGTCCTTACACTATACTCCTACCATGTGTGCCCCAAAACCGAACAGTTGCAAATGCTCATAAATATTAATTTAATAATAAGTATGCAATAATCATGTACATATAACTTATTTAATAAACCTGTGTTATATAAAATTTAATTATATATAAAACATTCAGTGATTCCTACATTTGTTGAACTAGAATAATACTACCATCCTGATGTCTATTGGGTTGTCCTTGTAAAACTTGTTAACCGTGGAAAATAAAGAACGCCAGGATTTACGTGGTTTCCCCGATGATCGGGACTAGTCCACGGAGAGCATAGCTCTCAGGAGAAGTTTCACTAGTGAATTGTTCTGGGAAGAAGAAGCTGCCGAGAACCCTTTTGTTGTGTTAAGGTTTTAGCTCAGCCAACAAGAAGCACTTATACCCTTCGACATTCTACTAGGGAATAAGGCAAATTACAAAAAACACCACACTAAAATAGTAAACGTACAAGCACGTCCAATACTCCCCCTCAAGCTGGAGCATGAAGGTCACGAATTCCAAGCTTGGAAAGAAGTGTGTGAAATTGATCAGTTCCTAAAGCCTTGGTGAAGATGTCAGCAAGCTGAAGATGGGTACTGATCTTCTGGGGAGAGATCTCGTTGGAGGCAACACGCTCTCGGACGAAGTAGCAGTCCATTTCCACGTGCTTAGTACGTTCGTGGAAGACAGGGTTAGCCGAAATGTGGAGCTCAACCTTGTTGTCACAGTAGAGACGATGTCGTGTCCCCATTGGAAGAGGAGGGAGCAGCAGGAGCACCGGTCGTGGGCAGAGATGAAGAGGTGTGGCCTCGTCATCCGATGCGGGGTACTCCAAATCATGCGAGCCATCCATTCCGAGAAGGTCAGCGGGCTCATCGTCACCAACGACTACACCGAGCGACGGAGGAACGTCAAGCTAGTCAAGAGAATGCATGGGAAGCTGGCCATGCACGTCCGTAGGGGAACGTGGTAAGGGAGAGCTGCGCGTGCTGTGGGGTTTCGCAGTAAATGGAAAGACATCCTCCACGAAATGTACATCCCGAGAGACAATGATCTTGCAAGTACTAAGATCATAAATACGGTACCCCTTTTGTGAACCAGGATAGCCAAGAAAAATGTCGGCTCTCCCCCTTTCGGCAAACTTGTTGAGTCCACGGTGTGTGTCCTTGGCATATGCCAGGCACCCAAAACTGCGGAGATGGGAGTAGCTGGGGATTCGGCTTAAGAGAACCTCGAAGGGGGTCTTACCGGCGAGCACAGGAGTCGGCAGACGGTTTATCAGGTATGTGGCAGTGAGGACACACTCACCCCAGAAACGAACCGGAAGACTAGCATGGAACATAAGTGCACGGGCCGTCTCCAACAAATGACGATGTTTCCGTTCCACGACACCGTTTTGTTGAGGGGTGTCAGTGCATGATGTCTGAAGAAGAATCCCATGTTCCTCATAATAGGCTCGAAGGGACATGGTTTGAAATTCCGGACCATTGTCTGCATGAATGCGACGAACTTCCCTGCCGAACTGCGTGCGAGCTAGCTGACAGTGCATCTTAAGATAACGTTCAACATCAGATTTGAACTGCATCAAGTAGACCCAAATAGAGCGACTGTAATCATCAACAATCGTCAGGAAATATCGGGAACCATCAAGAGCTGGAGTTCGATATGCACCCCAAATGTCCACATGAAGTAAATCGAAACACCCCTTGGTTTTTATTGTGCTACTGGTAAAAGGAATCCGAGTCTGTTTTGCCCTCAAACAAGAATCATAATGCGATGAATTCGATGAAGGAAACGTACAATCCAATGAACCTTGCAAACTACTGAGTTTATCTAAGGATGGATGACCCAAACGGGTGTGCCATAGAGAAAAAGAGGCCGCGGAGTTCTTCACACGGCATGCCTGGTGCACAGCAGCGTCTCCGTACCTAGGCAAGTAGTACAATCCGTCCTTGAGTCTACCCACTCAATCAGCGTCTTGGAAGGTAATACCTGGAGTAAGCAAAAATCATGGGCAAAAGTGACAGTCATGTTATGATCTTTCGCCAATCGACTCACAGACAAAAGGTTGCATTTGATACCCGGAACATGTAAAAATCTGTTAAGACGAAGATTGCTAGTAAGTTGAACTATGCCCACTCCCTTGATCGGAACCCCAGACCGATCGGTGTTAAGAAAATAAGGTATCAACAGAATCCATCCAACGTATGTCACGAACAATGTGTTCGTTACACCTAGAGTCTATTAACTACATATCAAGATAAGAGTGATTACCCGCCATATGAGCAGTTGGAGCTGTGAGAGCATCAGAAGATGTGACGGCTAAGAGCTCACGCAGTTGGGCGAGCTGGGCAGCCGTGAATCCGGGAAGCAGGGGGCTGGACGCGTCCTGCTCGACATGGGCCGCTTTAGGCTTCCTACCACCATTAGAACCACTCTTCTCATCATTGGAACGAGCACGAGGATGGCCTGGGGGGAAATCCCACGAGGCGATAACACACCTCCTTGGTGTGACCAAGGCGGTTGCAATGAGTGCAACGAACTCGATCGCGCTCGTGATCATCGCGATCTTCGCGTTGATTCCTGTCAGCCTGCACCTGGAATGCAGCTGTATCGACCCGCGGCTGCCGAGCGTTGGTGATGTGGCGATGCTGCTCCTCGGCCTCAACCATCTAATAGGCATCGGCTAGGGAGGGCGTGGGTTTTGTGCTCAGAATTTATGAACGTAGCACCGCGTATGCATCGTCGAACACCATTAAGAATTCAAAAAGATGTTCACTATCCAGTGTAGCTTGATACAGCCGCACCCAGTCACACGTGCAACCATTGCATTGACAGCCGCCACAAGTGCAACGAGGAGTGCCTCGGATCGACTGCATCTCATCCCAGGTCGATCGGAGCTTAGTGTAGAAGGCTGAGACTGAAAGTTTGTCTTGGCGAAAGGTGTTGATTGTCCGCCGAAGCTCGTAGGCACGTTGAGCTGTGCCTTTGCTGAAACAGCGATGGAGATCCGCCCAGATTTCGCGTGCCGTTGTAGCCGTGCAGACACTGTTGCTCACTTCTCGAGTCATGGCTATCTTTAGCCATCCTTTGACAGTCGCATCACATCTGTCCCAAGCATCTTGTCGTGCCGCGGAGCCAGCTTTTGCGCGAGGAAAGGAGCCGTCAACAAATGCCAATTTATTTTTGGCGATTAGGGTTTCCTTGAAGTCATTGACCCATTCACCATAGTTTGAATCATTCAGAAGATCACTGCCGAATAGTTGGGCAGGGTTTTCCGATGGATGAAGGTAGAGGGGAGAGCTGATCGGAATGACACTCTCATCGATGGATGAAACAGCCTTGCCGTCGCTGGTCTCCTCGTCCTTCGTGACCATGTTGAAAAAGGAGAGAACTGAATCTTAGACCTACTCTGATACCATGTAAAACTTGTTAACCGCGGAAAATAAAGAACACCAGGATTTACGTGGTTTCCCCGATGATCGGGACTAGTCCACGGAGAGCATAGCTCTAAGGAGAAGTTTCACGAGTGAATTGTTTCTGGGAAGAAGAAGCTGCCGAGAACCCTTTTGTTGTGTTAGGGTTTTAGCTCAGCCAACAAGAAGCATTTATACCTTTCGACAGTCTACTAGGGTATAAGGCAAATTACAAAAAACACCACACTAAAATAGTAAACGTACAAGCACGTCCAATAGTCCTAACATGTTAATGCCTCTTCGACGATCCGCTGCTTTTCGATGCACGTGATAGCAATTATTTTATTATATAAAGCCAAAACAATGTTACTGTTGCCTAAAAATATAATACTTTGATACCTCAAATTTTATTAAATTACAACTTAGTTACTATAATGTACATTTTACATTTTGATACCCCAAATTTAATTTTAGTGTAAAATCATTGAATAAACATGTTTTGGTATCTAAATTTTATTAGATTTTCGTACTTGCAATTTTTTTAAATTTACATATTGGTACAATGTTTAGATTTCACTTGAATCCATGAATCCAGATCCACCAATCCTTTTGAACCAATTCATGAATCCAATCCACCATAACATAGAAGTATAAATTTAGTTTGTACCATACAAGATGTTCTATCATTCTACAGTCGGAGATTGCTCATTACGTGAAACATTAAATAAATGATAAAAGAGAGACAGTTCTAAAATATTGCAAGAACGAATTTATAAACTCGATTAGTTATTTACGGGGTACTAAACAAACTTTTACTAACTACATGTAAAAATATGTGACATCTGCATAAGCAAGTGTCATTAAATTGTTACGGTGAAAAGAGTTGACTGTTATATTGAAGGCCAACTAAAATAGTTGGTCAAAACCTTTCCATCATCTACTTCCTCTTCGTTTCATTTTTCACTCGCCTTCCATAACCGTAATTAGTATAAAATTTTTATGTATTCTGATCACAAGCATGAACGAGTCCATACACGACTCACCAACAGTTTAGATAATTAATAATTGAACCATGAACCACTAACTTTTTCAGCTGTACTGTCGAGTCCAATTAAGAATAATTATATATGGTTATTACTTATTAGAAAGTCATCATTTTCCACTATGAGATTCGAAGGCGTGAAATTTTAAGCGAGTTCCAGTTTGTATTCCTTTTGCTTCTCTCTAGAGTTTTTCTTTGACTAAAATTTTCAACTATTACAAATAGAATGTTTAGCTAGGTATCTACACATATCAAATAAATGGTTTCTTATTTTCTATAAAAAAAAAGTAAATAATTATCATCTTAAATACATCACCATAAAAGGAATTAAGCCTCAATTATGCAAATTACACTTCGGTACCTAAACTTGATACATTTTTAGATTTACAACCTAAATTTATTATTTTGGCATATAAGTCCTCAAAATATTGATGGAACATTACATTTTAGTACCTAAAATTTTTGGGCATTACATTTTGGTATCTAAACTTTTGAAGTTCTACAAATAGGTCTAATTTTTGTATGTAATTAAAATGCACTAGAATAAATGAGTATCCATACCCAACTCATACACATTTAGATTATGAAAGTAAATATACATACCCTATTCAAACCCATCAACAAACTTCCTAACTCATATATACGTCACCCATACGTACCCTACCCATAATCAATGGGTCTACTTGGATTTAGGTATATATCATTTATTAGTCAAAATTTTCAAATTTTTTTAAATCGTATGTTTACCGTTCTATATCTCTTCTCAGTCAATATTACTAACAAAACTGCTAACAAAAAATTAATTTTTTATCTAATAATACTAACAAAACACCATAACGGGCTATATAATACATGATTAACTTCACCGTTATATATCTCCGCCCGCGAAAAGACGCGGCATCACCACCTAGTTATTTATAAAATTGATATTCCAGTGCATCCAATTGTTATGAAATGTGGAATGTGAAATGCACCATCCAACAATCGTAAATTATCTTACGACGTTACAACTTTACTTCATATAAGGACCGTAGCCGAATTGACGGTAAGTGGTTCTCCCTTTGTGGAAAATTGAAATAGCTAGCTACCCTGTCGGCCGCCTACTTCCGTTTACACAGTAATTAACTTCAAATATCATCCGACTTTATTTGAATGTGAGACCAATTCAATAAAATATCAAAGGAAATAACGAATGTTTTTTCCCCTCCTGGTACAACGGCGCCGGTTCTCAACATGCAGCACTTGAGCTGAGATTTGTTTGACCGCTGGAAATTAGTAGTTGATGAATCCTATATATTGACATTCTCCCGCAAGGAATTTGACCCACGAAAAGAAGGGAAATGGTCTTGCATTGCATTGCATGGCTGACTTTTTGGCTTTCACATGGACACATGGTCTGCCACCAGAGGGCAGCATTACAAAGTTTTACAATAATACAACGTAATACGCAAATATTATTCTTCTAATTTTTTGGAAACTGGGAAAGTCAGAAACATGAATTCACCAATTCATAAA